GGGAATCTTCTTTTCTTCAAGAACATAGAAAATACTTCTAATAAAAAGCTAATGCAACAAATCCACTCTATTGAGACATTAGACGGTCCTGTCTTGGCTTCCAGATTAGACCTGACCGATTCATCCAGGCACATTCATTGCTGAAGGGCAGATGGCTTTTCTGTCTCCTTTCTCACTGTCAAAGCCGCCATGAGTAATGTCTGCCCTTTCATACAGTCCTTAGGTGTGTTCAGCTGGGTCGTACACATTTTCCAGAGCATTGTTCTCACAGCGCTGCAGTTTCCTTTCCAGCACCAGGAGCACTGTGGCAACCCAGCTCACCAGCTCACTTTCCCTGCCACTCTTCGGAGCACACGGAAGTAAATTCAAAATGAAATCCACAGGCAAGTGTGCTGAGGAAGGAAAAGAGGTTTTACACACTAGCACTTTTCAAAAGAGAGAGAGAGGGAGAGAGAGAGAGAGAGAGAAAGAAAAAGATGAACCTGTCTTAATTCAAAAATGGCACAAGGCCCTAATGAAAAAAATCCAGCTCAAGATTCAGTCCCTAATATCTCAGTGATGAGTGTGTATTCCTCCTGTGGCTGCCCCTGTGAGTGAATTCTGCAATAATCAGGCAGTGCATTGAAATAAGATATCATTCGATGGTACTTCAGGAGTGAGACATCACCCTGGCGGACTGACTGGCCAGTTACTGCCTAAGTGTCGGAAGTGGAAGGGAAGAGGCACAAGGAAGCCTCGTCTTCCGGTTCCTTGGAGTTTTATTTTCTTTACCTTTTTGGTAAATACTGTTGTTCTGTGATCATGAAAGTAAGACATATTTTTTTAAAATTTACAAATATGGAAAGATGACAGGAGATAAACTTCAGTCATGATTCTACCACACAGTGATTCTCAGTGTCAGTGGTTCTGAGTCATTTCCTTGGAGCCTTTTTTTTTGTTTGTTTTCTATAGGCAAACCCTTTGTTTTTTTTCTTCAGGACTTTAGGAGGTATGTTCCACAATACAAAGTCTTCTTACACTTAAACTGATTTTTCCCAACACACCATTAACGTACGTTTCTCTAATCATCAACATCAAGAATGAAAGGTATTGAGAACCAGCAGTTAGCGTAAGGGCTATGTTGCTGGACTCCCATGTAGTCAACCGCGGTTCGCGTCCCGGACCCGGTGGCTTAAAACTCACGCCGGGCACGTGTGCGTGTGTGCCCAAGATCCTGGGAGGAGAATGGAGGAGAAGGGATTGCGGCGTGACCATCCCCCCTGGGGGTGATTTCTCGCTTTCTGTCTCTCTGTCTCTCTCTGTCTGTCTGGCGAGCTCACGCGTCCTATAGCAAAAACCTCTCAAAAAAAAAAAAAAGAATGAAAAGTATCTATTTTATTACCTCTTGTGTATGACAAAAACTTGTAGCATAGTTACCACCCCTTCCACTGCACATCTCCAAATTCTGGTTTATTGCTCCATCTCTCCAATACCTATAATGGTCCCTGGCATTTAGCAGTTGCTTAATAAATTCTAATGAATCAATGAAAGAATGATGACAATTTATCCTCCTATTACTCCCAGGAGGTAAGCACTGGCTGCTCAGGTCGACCTCTTTTCACTATCCTTCGTCATCTCTCCCTAGCAGTCAGATTAAGCCATAGGTCCCTCCCCACAACCACCCCACTGTCCACTGAGTCTGCTCTCCCTGGTTTTCTGTGTGTGGGACTGGGGAGGGGTGGAAAGGAGGGGTGAAGATATTGAGGGCCCAGTCTTTGGACCCAAACCAACCAAATTCTCAGGTCTGACACCTGCTATTTGATGACACAAGTATCTTAATCTCTCTGGGCCTCGGAGATGCCATCTGTACAATGGGTGGTGATGACACCTGCCTGGCAGGATGAGTGACTGGTATGCACAATGCCTGCTACACAGGAGGGATCCATCCTTTGCAGCTACTAGTATTTAGTCCATGATCTTTCCAATGACAACATAATTAAAGAGCCCTTGGGGCTCTGGAGCATTGCCTTCCTGATCACACTTTCAGTTGTTTTATGTAATGAATATAAGAGAAGTTTCAATGAATTTCTTTATGCTTCTGTGCCAAGTTACTCAGAGAAATAGGAAAGAATTGTGTGACCTTTCTGACGATCTGTTTTTGGGCTTCCACTGTCATCGCATGTGCTTTCTCTGTAGCAGGTGTCCTGCTTCACTGTAATTGTGTGTCCACATAGACAACCCCCCCAGGAGGCGATGAATGGGTCTCCCATCTTGGTATTCTCAGCCCAGAACCCACAGTACTTACAACTGAGAAGTCCCTCAAAATATTTATTGATTGAATGGATGAAAGAAAGGAAGAATGAATAGTATCATAATGTACACATCATGGCCCATCTCAACCACACAGATGGACTTTTTACCGTCTCCACATGACAAAAGCAAAGCAAACTAGAATGTAATCTCCAGCTCTCTTAATCTATAATTCAAGCCTCTGACTCACAGACACCTAAGATTGCTTCTGCAAAGTGCCAACTTAAGGGGGGAAAAATGATATTTCCTCTTAGTTACCATGATGAAATCCATGGATTCACTGGCTAGTATTACAAGGTTATTTAGTGGAGGAGGGATGACAATATATGCGCAGTACAACTTCTGGTCTGCAGCTTTTAGTTTGAGTTATATGTGTGTTGGCATCTCTTTCACGCAGAATCTGATGAGCTGGCATTTATTTTTGACAGCATCTCAAATCCTGTGAAAGTCAGAGCTGGGTGCTGGCATTGTTTTTTAGTAATATCTCAGATGGTGGCAGGACAACCTTGATAATAAAAGTCAGAGGGTTTAAAAGATGTCTTCTTAGAATTTTTCCCAAAAAAGAAAAGAAAAGTTCAGCAAAAAAGAGCTTCTGGACTCCCCAAAGCAAAAGCTTCCTTGAACATCAGCTTTTTGCAGACTGAACACAAATTAACATGCACAAACACACAAAGTCAATGAAATCTCTCTCTCTCTCTCTTTCTCTCTCTTATTCACTGTGGCAGCTCTTCCTGCTTAGTCCCCAAAACCTGCTTTGTTCACCTTCCTAGATAACCAGGTAGACTACATTTCCCATACTCCCCTGCAGTTTTATGTGTGTCCATATGCCTGAGTTCTGGTGAATGGGATGTGAGTGAAAATGATGCCTATACCTCTGGTCCAACCATAAAAACTTTCAAAGCTCTTTTCTTATCTACTGGCTGTTTGGGATAAAGCAACCTCCCAGGGTCACCTTGGAAGCCACAGTCAAAGGTGACATACATACATACATACATACACACATACACACATAGAGATAGCAGAGCCTCTGCTGCCTAGGGATGGTTATTGTATGGAACAGAACTGCCTCTTCTGGATGCTCCTCCTCTCCACCTCAGACTATTATATAAAGAAGAAATAAGCTTCCATTATTCAGAAATTACAAGGTTGGACCTATTTGTTAGGCAGCTTATCCTATCTGAACTAAGTCATATTCTTTTTTAAAAAGGTAGTTGACAGGTTTTAAAGGACTTTTATATGCCCAACATTGTTTATGTTAATAGTAATCTTTTCAATAGCTCTGAAAGGTACTCTTATTTTATATCTGTAGACATATTGGGTCATTGGAAAAGTCATAATGTATTTTTCTATGTTTTTTTTCTATGCAAAAATGCATCATGACTTTTCTGATGACCCAGTATTTCCAAGTTGAAAGGGCATGAGTATTTTGTTTGCTATGGAGGCCCCAGGGTTGGTGCAGAGGGTAGCATTGAGTAGATTATCAATGAGGCATATAGATGATGGCAAAGAGGAAGGAAGGTTTGAGAAGGTGAAGTCATGTGCTCAGGCCCCACAGCTGGAAAATGCTGGACCCGTCATTTAATCCCAGTCTGCCTGGTTTCACGATGCAGCTGCCTCTGAGTATCAGTAACTCAAGACTTTAAAAAGAATGAGTGAGGAGGCAGTGATGAGTACTTAGAGAAAATATTTTAGTCTCTCGTCCTGTATTTCTGACTGGAAAAAAAAAGTGACACATTTAAAAGTGAAAACATATAGACATCTAAAGCAAAGAAAGGAACAACCTTCTATAATCTTATCAAAGAAAATTCCTGGTCCATGCTTAGTTTTAGTCTTTAAGTTCTTAACACACTCTCTCTCTCTCTCTCTCTATCAAAAATATTTCATGTTATAAGCAGAAAATCTATATTCTCTCCCATCACATGACTTTTTCACTTATTTTTCCATTATATACATTGAGATTTTTTTCCAAACCAGGACATACCAATCTGTGTCACTGTAACAACTGGGTAATATTCTGTGCAATAACCTGTGAGAATTGGCTTAACTGTTTTTTTCTTGGTTGATACTTACACTGTTTCCAGTCTTTAAAACACAAAAGAGCTATGAAAATTGTGCTTATGCTTGTAGTTTTGGGGTAGATTCCTTAGTGGGAAGTTGTAGGTACACTGATGGGCATTTTTCTTTCTCTTCTACCTGTGTAGATATGTTTCTGCAAAAGGTCCAGAGACTGCAAAGATATTGAGCTGGACTCAGTGGATATAGGTCTTCAAGTTAAGATAACCAAGAAAGGCAGAAGAAAGGACTTCCAGAATCTCAGAAGGGTGTAGCTATGTTCCAAGTCTATGACAAAGACGAAGTGAGAAGTGACACCTTCCGGAAGTTGACTGCTTTCTCCGCATCCTCCTGGCAATGAGGTCAACCTTGTCTAGAGGGTCAGGGCTGATCAGGGTCCAGTTAAAAAAATCCAAAAAAAAAAAAAAAAAAAAAAACATCCACACTTAGAAACTTATATTTTTGAGAGAGATTTTTGCTGTAGGACACATGCACTCACTGGAGAGACAGAGAGACAGAAAGTGAGAAATCACCCCCCAGGGTGGTGGCACACCACAGTTCCTTCTTCCCCATTCTCCTCTCAGGAATTTGGGCATGTACACACACGTGCACGGTGTGAGTTTTAAACTGCCGGGTCTGGGACTCAGATTGCAGTCAACTACGTGGGAGTCCAGCAACATAACTATTTCGCCATCTGCTGGTCTCCACACCAAGAATCTTAATCTCTCCCTAGCAGTCAGATTAAGCTTCACAACCACCCCACTGTTCACTGAATTTGCTCTCCCTGATTTTCCATGGCAGGGGGGATAATAAGGAGTGGGGATGTTGAGGGCCCAGTCCTTAGAGCCAAACGAACCAAATTCTCAGGTCTGAAGACTGTTACTTGATGACACGAGTGTCTTAATCTCTCTGGGCCTCAGCGATGCCATCTGTACAATGGATGGCAGTGATATCTTCCTGGCAGAATGAGTGACAGGTATGAACTTGTAAAGAATGGTTCCTTCCAGAGGAGGGGTAGCAGCCAGTAGGACAGAGAGAGGGAGGAAGAAGGTGTGTGGATATTGTCACAAGGTTCCTGTGGGAGCTGAAGCTGAAGGCTGTAGGACACTCACTCCACAGAACCAGGCGTAAACGCGATGTGCCTGGACAGCTTTGGGGGTGAGTAGGCTGCTTCAGGCAGATGTCTTTGTCTGTGAGCGCAGCTGTGTGTGCTCTGAGGTGTCTCTGTCCATGAGGGTAGTCCCTGGAATGATGATGATGATGATGATGATAATAATGAAGATGAAAGTGGCCATCGTTGGCAGCAGAGGAAGGCGATGATTACCCAAGACAGTACTGGAGTGCTGTGAGCTGACCCTGCTAGGAGAGGGGCTGCCTCTGCTCTGTGTATCTTGGCTCTGTGTGTGTGTGGTGGTGGGGAGTCTACACAGTGAGATCTGGTTGTGAGTGTGTCATGTGTGATGTTGTATAGTGACTGTGAGTGTGTAGTGCTGTGTGTGTGTGTGAGACCATGGGGTGTGTTGCAGCAATCGTGTGAGGTATGACGTGTGTGTGGAGTGGCAGGGTGAGTGGGGCCTGGGGGATGTGTGGGTGTGATGTGGCACGTGAGTGTGTACACTGTGTTGTGTGTATGTACCCTGCTTGTGGATGTGTTAGAGGGAGTATTGATTAAGTTCAAGTTGCCCTCAAAGTCTTCATGCTCACTTTGAATTTTCCCTCCCATCTTCCCTGTTTCCTATGGCAAAAAAAAAAAAAAAAAAATGCCAGCTTTACCTAAGAGATTCCTCTCAACCTCTTTTCCCCCTTGAGAAGCCAGGCTCTAGGGAAAGGCTTCAGTTTTGCTGGTTACTGCTAGAAAGAGGGAGGCAATGTTCTCTAGAGCTGCTGTGTTTTATTTTATTATTCTTTTTACTTAATTATTCTATTAGTCTGTTTTACCTTTTTATTGAGGTATAGATAATGTGCAGTAAAGTGTGCAGAGTACACAGATCCTAAGTGCTAATGGGTCTTAAGTGCAAGTGTATTCACCCATGTAACCACCCCCTCACCCCACCCCCACCCCCCGATCAAAACAGAATACAGCTCCAGCACCCTCAATGCTCCCTGGAGCCCCTTTCTAGTCAGTATCCCCCAAAGGCAAACATTGCTCTGACTTCTGTCTCCCTAGATTAGTTCTGTTAGAATTTCATATAAATGGAATCACACAGTATGTCGTCTTTTGTGTTTGGCTGTTTCCAGTTAGCATAATGCTTATGAGATTCATCCACGTTGTTGCTTGGACCAGTAGTAGCTCCTGCCTTTTTATTGCTGTGTAGAATCTTATTGTATGGATGTATCGCAGTTTGTTTATCCATTCTCCTGCTGATGGACATCTGGGTGGTTTCCAGTTTGGGGCTATTGCAAATAAAGCTGCTACGAATATTCTTGAACATGTCTTTTGATGGCCATATGTAGAGCTGTCTTAATGTTGCCTGTGATAGCATTTGACAAAGATAGAGCTTGCAAAAAATAACCTCCTGCCAAAAATCCAACAACAACAACAACAAAACCCCCAACGTATCCCAGCAGGCTTCCCAGGAAGAATGAAGCAGTCAGCTTCATGAGGCCTGTCTTGAATCAACTTCTGTCCTCTGGGAGAAGATAGCATCACGCTGGGGAGGGTTGCAGGCTCTCCGGGACACAGAGCTCCACTGCCAAATAGACATCATCTCTCCAGGGTTTTGGTATTTGTGGAACCAGGCTTCTCAGCGGTTAAATTATTCTTTGGGGGGTAAATTGGGATCTTCGGAAGGGCTGCTGGCTACTTGGGCTCTGTGAGCTGTGAATTGGGCCCCAATGCCAAGATTTTCCTATTGAGAGCCTAGTGATGCCAAGTGAAGGCAACCTCTGAAGGTGTTCAATTTACTTTTAAGGAGCTCAAAACTTGAGAAAATCTGGCCCGCTGCCTGCAGGTCCACAGGGCAGCAGGAAGGGTTGAAGGAGGAATTAAACAGGCCTCCAGCTGCACAGTCATGGTTTTTGGACTTGTTTGGCATCTATAGCTCCTAACCCCTTGAGAGACTGTCTCTATAGAAGAAGATATCAGGGCCTACACCTCAGTCCTGGGCACGCACCTCTACCTGCCTGTGTGCTTCCTGCCAAGCCGTGTTGCCCTCCATTCTGAGACTTCAGCACTAGCCCTAGGAGCAAGCTCATCTCAAGCTCACGGTGAGGGAGAGGCTCTGGAGCCGATGTCCCCAGGATCTTCCCTCAGCCCATGATGCAATAGAGTCAGAAGCCAGATGCCCCAGCTCCCTCCACTTCAGTGAGAATAATCCCGGGAGGACCAGCCCTGCTTGCCCACAGTGGTCCACTGCTCGTTAATGCAACCTGGATGGGCTGCCTCCCCTTCCCAGCTCACTTCCCTTCTCCCCCATGGGTGCTGCCTGGAACAACCTCTCCCATTGTACACTAACTGTATGCCCTCAGATCTTGCTTTCAGAGTCTTTCGGGGGATTCCAAACTCAGGCCATATACTCCTCCTCAAGGGAAAACACTCTCTGGGACATATGTTAATTATGTATGGGAATTTTGCAGATCCCATGACACCCTTATGCATTGTCCTCTCTGGGGTTCAGCCAAGCCACTGCTAGGTATCTTTGCTGTGGAGAAGTTTGTGATCAAGGGCTAACCCAGGGGACGACAATAATAAATAGTATTTAATTTTCAAGTCGCAATGAGGACAGACAGCCTTGGTCCCACTGCTCCCTGTCACTGTCACTCCTAATACTATGCATGATGGATGTGTAACTGCAGAAAGGTATAAGGAAATGGAATCATTTAAGACACGGGGTCAAGGGGTGGGACTACTATTTAGGGGAATTCTAAGCCGCTCTAGCTCTGCAGAAATGAAATACAGAGCAAGACGGAAAAGGCACAAATTCTATCTCTGCCACAATAGGTTGTTTCCTTAATAAATTAAATATAGTTTTGACTTATTGGAGATGTAAGACTCCTGAATGGATTTTTTATTTTCTTTCTGATTTTCCAAATGCAGTTGCGATGTCAATGTGGAGATTTGCAAAAGAAGTCCAAGAGGAATCTTTTGGGAAAGAAAAATCTTAATGCACAAAGCAGTCCGTTTGTCCAGTTTCTTGTTAATCTTTTTTTTGGAGGGCTATTTTTCCACATAACTCAAGAAAGGAAACTGAGGAGGAAGGTGGGGCTTAGGGCAGAGGGATATAATTAGCTATGACATTCGATGATTTGCGTTTGAGTCTGTGGTTCTGGAAGGATAAACATGCGGACCTAGCTCAGTGGGGCTGGGGTGACCCGGGCCTACAGTGTTTAAAAAGGGCAAGATGTCAAACTGCAGCCACAGACCTTGGTTTATCTATGTGCAGGGCACAGCTGGAGCAGTGGGGCTGTGTGAGGGAATCTGAGGGCACAGACAAGCACAGGCTACAGGAGGCTGGGGATGGTGGGGGGAGGAAAGTGGAGCTTTGGTTTTGAAGGACTCCCCTTTGCCGGATGCCCCTTGCTGCCTGGGGCAAATTTAGAAGCTCACAAGCTGTTTACGTTACATTCTATTAACCTTTCCCCAGCGGCTGTCTTTGCCTGGTCTGATCCACCACAACACCACACATGTTTTTCTAATCGTTTTTGCTGTTTCACTGATTGCAGAATTAGAAGCATCCACTGTCTGGTAAAAGTAGGTCACGGAAGTTCCTGACTTCGCTATGTTGCTAATAGATTTCTGAATGGCAGCTTACGGGCGCCTGAATGTGACATTCGAGCAGCAGAACAATGGTGATCACTCACTGACGGTTTTGCGCTTGAGTCATTCTTTTCTGCAATGTGAACACGTGTGGGGGAGGTCTCACAGAGTACAGGTGCTAAGGAAGAGTCGGTGAGCAGGGAGATGGTCATTTCAAAGCAAATCAGTGCTTTTATCAGGGCCCTATCTCTTCAGGTCCCCGACCCTTGCTGCAGTCTGCCATTTGCCTTTCTCATTGCCACTGTCTTTCCTGGACCACTAGCACACTTTTCTGTAACTCCTGCAGATAATAGCCTTACCCACACAGGATCTCCTTCCAGCAACCCACCACCCTCTCCTCCTATAAACCGCCTAGGAATTGCCATCTCACCTCTCTTCACCCGCTTTCTCCTGAACCCCCCCTTTTTTTATTCTCCTCTTCTTAGGATTTTATTCTCTCCCAGCGTTATTCCAGCTTGAGGATGCTTCAGGCTCACAGAACCCACAGACAGTGAAAAACTGGATTGCCTTATAATAAAATGGTAAAGGCTTTAGGTGGCCTCCAGGAGAAATAGTACACGGAGTCAATATAAAGACCTAGACATTAGCAAATTTGCCGTAAGGGCATGGTGACTATTGAGCAGTTATATAGATGGGCACGCTGCGGGTGTCTCTTACGTGCTCTTTCTTCTTTTTTAAAACAAATATGAGCAAATTTGTTGAGATCACTTCTTTCTTCTAGCCTCAGACAATGGTGATCAAAATCGTGTTCGACCAAAACATATTGCTCGTGTGTGTTCCTGTTTAACTGGAAAATGACAGCACTGATTTCTTTGAAGTTTCATATTCACTCAGAGCCACTCTACAACTGAGTGCTCTAGAATCCAGAATTTCTGCGAGGAGGAGAAAGAATAAATCAACATAAAATGATGTAATAAAATCCTCTTAAATAACAACCAGGTAGTAAATTAACATATACACGACCTTTGAAATGATCCTGTACGGGGAAGTCGAATCCAGCAAACAGCTGGCTGGGTGCCTGCCCTTGACTAATAGGCCGAGAGATACAGCTGCTAGAAAGATATCTGAGAGTGAGTTTTAAATGCAGAAATCTGTCTTTTATTAAAACACACACACACACACACACACACACACACACACACATCAGCGCCTTCGTTTGACAAACCCTAATTTCATTGGGATTGACAGCATTGCCTTTGTCGAGCATACATTTAACAAATGAGATTGAACAAGCACCCCACTCAGTTTCATCTAATTTAATTTGACAGCCAAAGCAGGTAGGTAGAATAATGCACTTACAGGAGAGGTAAGAACGCTCTCCCTGGGGTTAAATGACATGGCTTGCTGAATCAGGCTTAAAGCAAGGATCTCCTCCTTTGCTTTGATATATTTGTTTTGTTTT